CCCGCTTCGAGGAGCTGGGTCAAGGGGGGTCTGCGAGTCAGCAATCCCCCTGCGGGTCAAAGTACCGCTTAAGACGTCCGACATAGAACGTCGGGTGCGTCGTCATTGACTTTGGAAGGTCGATGGTGTACGACGCACCATGTCTGGCCAGGACTGCAAAAGGTCCGATGAAGCGGTGCTTCAGCTTGTTGCTGCCGACAGAGCTAACAGTGTCTAGAGGTAGGTTCCTCGTGTCTAGTAACACTAAGTCACCAATCTCAAATATACTTAAGTTTCCTCTTCCTTGTTTGTCCGAGTACTCCTTTTGTTTATCTTGGGCCGCTGCCATGGCATCGCGGACCCTGCTGACAATGTTCAGCTTGGTATCCATAAAGGATTCCACCTGTTTCCGCAGCGAAACTGGCCTCACATCCGAGACCTGGGAGGAAAGGGCTTTCCGAGCCTCTCCCCCACTTAGAATAGAGGAGTCAGTGTTTCCTCGAAGAGTGAGAGGCACTCTGGGGTGGCGGAAGCCGTTCAAGTAGAACGGCGTGAACCCCGTGGACGCGTGCACCGCGTTGTTGAGCGCAAACTCAACAACTGGAAGCTGCGTCGACCACGTACGTGGCGCTGCCGCGCACACACTGCGCAGAGTGTCCTCGAGCACTCGATTGACGCGCTCTGTTTGGCCGTCTGTCTGCGGATGATCCGCAGTGGACATCTGCAGACGAGTTCCCAGTAAAGGGAACAGCGTTTTCCAAAACGCAGCAGTGAACCGCGGGTCTCGGTCCGAGACAATCGTCTCCGGGAGACCGTGATAGCGGAACACGCCATCGACGAACAACCTTGCGGTTTGTTCGCCCGTCACAGTGACGGGAACTGGAGCAAGATGTACCATCTTGCTCAGCCGACACACGAACACCAAAATTCCGGTGTTGTCGTGTCCGTCGGCGGGAAGCCCAAAGATGAAGTCAAGACTCATCGACTTCCAACAATCAGCCGGTACGGGCAGGCTCTGTAGTGGAGCCGAAGAGTGCCCTGCGGGTTTAACCCGCTGACATGTTTCACATGTCTTGACGTATCGGGCGACCCACTTGTACATGTGGGTCCACCAGAAGGACTGAGAGACCGACAGAAAGGTCTTTTCGCGGCCCAAGTGGCCGCTGGAGGGCGCGTCATGCGCCTCCGCGAGGATGTCGAACTTCAGATCCTCGTCGTTGGGTACAACCACCCGTGGAGGATCAGTGGGCTCTACCCGATAATAGAGGAGGCCCTCCTTCAACTCATATCGGTGGAGCCGTGAGCGCTGTCGCGACGAGAGCCAGTCGGACATCGCGCTCGTTCCGGCCTTAAGGAACTTGACGATAGGCGCGACAGCCTCATCGTCCCGATACGCCATGCGTATCCGATCATATAGATCCGTTGTCACCCGCGTGATGTGGGCCAACTCATAGTCGGGACGCCTAGAGAGGGCGTCCGCAAGCACGTTGAGCTTGCCCGGCTTGTACTCGACGCGGAAGTTATATTCCGCGAAGAAGGACAGCCACCTCGCCATCCGTTGGAGAGAGGTGAGGCGAGTTAGTCGCCGTCCTCAAGGACGCGTGGTCTGGAA